GGCCTCAAGACGGGCAACGCGCAGGATGCTGAGCGCGCCAACGACTTCCTCGGCAGCCTGCTGGGAGGCAAGCGCGACACGATCACGCCCGACAACCTGAACCTGGACAGCGTCAAGCCGATCGTCAACCAGGGTGCGGCCACTGTGATGCCAATCGTGCTGAACCAGGTCAAGAGCAAGGCGAGTCCGGCGGTGCAAGGTATCAAGGCGGCCAATGGGCTGTGCAGTGCGTTTGGATGCCAGAACGCTGTCCAGGGTGCGTTGGGTGGGGTGACCAAGGAGCTGCCACTGCCTCAGGCACGCGCGCTCGGAGACAAGGACATGTTCGAACACGGCCTGCTCGGTGGAAACGGCGAGATCAACGGCATCCCTGTCCGCCGTGCCGATCCGCTCACCGACACCGTCCTCGGCGCGAGTGACGAGGCTCGTGATGCGATTCTCGGCGTCAAGGACCAGGCCGACAACGCTGCCGGTGCGTTTGTCAAGAACATGTACTCCAAACACGGAGAGGTCCAGACCAAGCGCGACCTCACCCTGCCCGGATACGCCCTGCTTCCCGGAACCGGCCCCATGGCCAAGCAAGGTGCACAGGAACTCATCGACTTCCTCGACCTCCCCGTGCCCGGCCTCAAGAGGATGGACAAGCTCAGGCGCAAGGAGTAGACTCCTCGTTGCTAGACTGTCCTGCTGATATTGGTGCACTCTGCCGCCGCTCGGGCGAGCATTCGAGTCGCTAAACCCCCTCAACACACCATCTCGATTTCCTGAACCATACCCCTTAATCCGTCTTGTAGAGGTGAGCGCTTGGCCGCTCCCCGCACCCACACATTCTTTTGGACTCGTAGCCTTGCCCGAAAATCCTCCAGTCACTCTCTTTCTCTGCCTCGTTCTTCAATGGGCCTGGGATGCTGGCCAGGGATGCCGCGTGTAAGTGTGAGTCTATCGGATGGCGCCGAGTCGGGACGGGGCTTGGACGCGGCCAAGCGGAGCACCCAAGCCGCCCAATCACGCTGCCTGCGTCGAATGACGCTGCGCAGCCAGGCGGCCCATCGGCTCCGTCGGTGTTCGGCTCGGCTGCGTCCCAATCCCACCTCTGCTCGTCGCAAAATGTGATTCTGGCAAATGGGTTCAAAGCATCAGTCACCTTGTGCGTCTGCGCGGAAAAAACCCACGCCGCTCCCGCCACCGACACCGCACCAAGACGCCGTTTTTTTCAGGCTCGGCTGCGGGTTCGGCTCCTTCGCATCGCCAAGCCAAGGCCCGTAGGATTTGCATTGCTCACAGAAAAGTGAAAGCTTCACATGCGCCGGGCCGTGCCCGGCTGTGATGTGAGCTTGAGTGTGTTAGGCTTCACAGTGGAAAGCTAGATCTTCGCACGGTGATACGCTGCGTTGGCCTTGTCGTCGCTCGCCGCTTGGCATTGATTTCGTGTGTGCCTCTCTTCTTTTGTTTTTCGTCCTCTGGCGTTGAAGATGCACTCACTCCTTCTGTTTGGACACGCGCTCGATTTCCTCGCTTGGCGGCTCGCGGCTCGCAAAGGCCTGGCTGCTGCGCACGACCCGAATTTCCCACGTTTTTCTTCTTCATTTCTTCTTTCATTTTGGCACCTTTTTTTGCCACTCGGGCCGCGCTTGGCCGTGACAGAGGGGGCGACGGTCTCGAGTCCGGTGTTGCGGCTGCGCCATCCGTCCGTCCGTCCGTCCGTCCGTCGGTGCCAAAGGCGTGTTGCATTGGCGCGCCATCGCACTGCTTCTGCACCACCACATTCCCTCGACAGGGCCTCCTGGCACCTTTGTTCTTCTTCCTCGCTCTTTCTAGACCTGGGAAGCAGGCTCCAAATCGACGCACCTCCGCAACGGGTGCCTCCCCCTCATCCACCTGCTCTTCAATCCCTCATCCTCACCCCTCGCATCTCCGCTTTTCTCTTTTCTTCTCCTTCCTCTCCTCATCCTCATCATCCACTTCTGTGGCGCCATCCCAGCAAACAATCCTTTGCACCCCGCCACATCAGACGAGCCCGTCAGCTCATCACGTCCGCCCGACACCGCCTACAGCTTTCTGGGCTTCCTGCATCTTCCACATCGGTCGATTGCCATCTCTTGCCTTCCTTCATACACATTGGAAGAAGACCATCGCATCTTACCGACCACCCGCGCCCCACACACGATCGCCTAGGCTTCCGCATTACATTGCATCGACCAAGGTAAGTCTGCTTTCCGTCGTGACACACTGCTCCACACACCCCCGCATCGCCTCGTCTGCTTCGACATACCTGAGCTGGAGCGACAGCACACACATGGCCGACAGCGCAGCTCAAGTCAAAACCGGCACAGCTCGCCATGCCGACGCAATCGCGTCCAACCTGCTCCGAGGCCGGCTCGAGCCGATGCCAAATCTCGATACGTTGCGATGCGATGCGGAGAGATTGCGGGCGGGCCAAGCAGTCTGGGTTTCACACTCAGACGCGATCGACGATTTCTTCGCATCGCCTCCCGATTTCCTTGTTGTTTTCACGATTTTTTTTTTTTTAGCTGCTCGGCTTCGGCGGTGTCGGTCGTAGGTTTGGGCGCCGCTGCGCAATGGTGTCATTGGGCCCTTGGTCGAGACCAGCCGACTGGCTCGTCGGTGCCTGGCTGCTGCTGTCGCCGTACAACCTTCTCTTACCTTCGGGAAGCTGCCCGAGCCAGCATGCCGAATCCTCCACACGATCTTGTGCGTCGTCGATTGCTTTGCAGCTGTGCGGCTCCAACTGCAACTGTCGCCAACGCTGGCCGAGCCTCGATCGGTAGCTTGCTCCGATCTTCTCGGCGGTCTCATCCAAAGATCGAGCAGCCACATCATCCCGCCGCCGCTCGCTCGCATGCCGTGTTGCCGAGCAGCATGGCTTGGCTTGTTTGGGCACATCGGCATTGCAATTTGGCTGCTACGATCGGCCTTCGAATTGCGAGCACAAATGAGCTCTAAATTGCCACTCCGGCTCCCACTCGCCGTCACGTGCAAACGTACCTGACCGCAGCAGCGCTTGCGCCAATGCCGGCGAATGCCCCCCACTCCACTCGCCCTCATAGTCACCGCCGCCGTCTGTCCGACACGACCTGACCCGCAGGCCTCGATCGTGCTTATCCACACCGGATGCCACGCTCCTGGTCGCCGTCGATCCGGTCGCATCAACCTCGGCTGGCTGCCTTCCAAATTTGGCAGACTCGTACCAAGTCGTATCTGTCTCCACATCTTGGTTCCTTCTGTTCTCGGAAGCGCTCATCCGCCCTCCCTTGCCACACTGGTCAATCGGCGTGCTCGTCGGCCACCCCTCCGCTGTCTGCTTTCCACAGATTCCGTTCCCGCCTTTGTCCTTTCCCTCCTCGCCGCCGTGGAGTTCGATGCAAGCGCATGAAACTGACGCCCTGCCTTCTTCCTCTTTCCATCGCCACCCTCGCCCGACATCCTCTCTTAACCGTCGCATCCACGTCCGATACCGCCTAATCCCCTCGACATCCATCACATCGTCTCCTCGCCGCTACCTACGCCCTCTTCACCGCCATACCGCCGTTCCGACCACAGAAGGTCAGATTGCACCTTCCGCCCCCTCACATTTGTTACCGGCCCAAAGGCACTCCCTTTCGGCTCCTGAGAGCTTCTCAGCAGCTCGGTTCTTGCATGCGTTTGCCAACCACTCCTTCCACTCGCTGTTGAAGGTCGTCGAGGCGCACGGCTTCACCTCCCCATTCGTAGCGTGACCAGCCAGCCACATATCCAACGTGGACCATTTGGCCAATAGCCGCGCAGACACTAGCATCTTTCCGCTTACCTCGACGCGCCGCACTCCCGCTCAAGCATGGGCCCGAGCCACACCAATCCCCCCACACCATCCCGCGCCGCTGCAGCGCGCAAATCCACAGCTGGCGATCCACCGGATCGCCGCAATCAAAGCCCCGCCTCCAACGACAGGGCACGTCACCAGCCACCTCGGCACGTAGCCAGTCCTCCACCGGCGCCATACTCGAACTTTCCGCCAGGCTACGTCCACCTCCCACCCACCATGACTGGTCCACCCCACCCGCCCTCAGGACGGGGCTCTGGTCCTGCATATCCAGCGTACGGCGCACAGGGAAGCGCCGACACACACGCTTACGCTGTTGCACCTTATCCTTCCGGAGGCCATCCTGTCGAGCCGCGCCACTTTGCTCGCCCACCCAGTCGCACGCAATCGCAAAGCTCCGGCTCCGGCTCCGGCGCCTCACCCCTCCACGAAATCGTACCGGCGCCTCACTACGCTCCGCACTATTCGCCCTCGTACTCGACCGTGAGTTCGAATCCTTCTGCCGGCCATTCGGGACGCACCAGATGGGCGTGGGTCCCCATCGAGGTTCCGCATACTCATCTTCCCGACGATGCCCACATGCAGTACCCCCCGTACCACGGCAACTACTACCCAACCTCGACCGGCTCGGCGGCTTCAAGCACGTCCTCATCCCACCAGCCCTACCCGCCGGCGTTTGGGGAAGGGGCAGGACCGATGGCAGCTTCCTATGGAGTGCAAGTCCCGCCAAACTATCCGACATCGTATCCCTATCCTGTGCATCCAAATCACTACGCCTCTGCCCACCAGCACTCCTCGCACCGCCATGGGGTGACGCCCGGCAGAGGATCGTGGTCCGGCCTGAACCAGCACGGATCTCAACATCCAGGCGCCAACCGCGAGGGCCTCTCACCCAGCGGCGGTGGAGGTAGTCGTCGACAGACTGGTCCGCCGTCCCGCTCTGTGCATGGCGCAGGCCGACCCACTTCGAACTCATCCGGCAACCAATCTTCCTCGCCCATGCGGGGTCCTGCCGGTCTGCCTCGACGTCCAAGCTCGACGTTAGCGCCCGAGGCGGAGGATGTAGCGGCAGAGAGCGACGTGTCGCCCCAGGCACTCGGCGTGGCAGCAGCCCCGCTTCAGTCGGTTACAGCTGACACGGAAGTGTCGCCGTCAGCCACTGGGACGTACGTTGATGTTGAAGGAGACCTCGATGCCGCGGGCACCGATCGCGTGCCGGGCCGGGGCCTCCGACCGCACTATCATCCGCAGCAAGGGCCGCGTTCCGACTTTGTCCTCTGGTGCGGCAACGTGCCGCAGGATGCAACCGTAGAGGAGCTCTGGGAGGTGTTTTCGCGCCTCACTCCCAGCGAGTACGAACGATGGCTGGACTCGCCCGAGGGCAAAGAGCATCGCAGTGCCGCAGCCGAGGAAGACACCGATATCGACGGACACGGCGTCTTGTCCATCTTCATCATTTCGCGCAGCAATTGCGCCTTTGTCAACTATGCCAGCACCGCGCATCTGGATCGAGCCGTCCTGTACTTCAACGGCAAGCAGGTACGCCCCCACGACGCGCGCTGTCCCAAACTCGTCTGCCGCGTGCGTAAGAAGGACGACGAGGCGCAGGCGGGCGTAGCCGGTCAACGAGGACGCGGCATCCATGTCGCTTGGCTCAAGGAGAAACGCGAACTTGAGCGAGCGCTGGCCGCGTCCAACACTCCAACGGCCGAACCGTCCGCGCACTTGCCACCGACGGTGCCATCAGCAGAGCCGCCCTCGCCACTCTCGCCGATGTCGCCGCCTGGAAGAGACTCGGCTGCGGTGGCTGCAGGACTCGCCTCGGCAGGCTCGTACAGCTCGAGTGGATCCGCCTCCTACACCTCTACCAACTCTTCGCTCTTCCGGCATCCCGCCTTCCGTCATCGCTTCTTCATCCTCAAGAGTCTCCGCGCCGACGACCTGGAACGCTCCATCGAGACTGGCTATTGGGCCACTCAACCGCACAACGAAGCGGTGCTGGACCAGGCGTACCGCAACAGCGAGACTGTGTATCTCGTCTTTGGTGTTAACCAGACGGGTCAGTTCTACGGCTACGCCAAGATGGCCGGGCCGATCCACACGCACACGGCTGATGCCACGAGCAAGGAAGAAGAGCAGCGCAGGATCAGCCTCTCTTCGGTGCGCTCCGCCGCCTCGGCCAGTGCGCAGGCTGCGGCCGCTTCCGAGTCGGTTGGGGATGTGTCGGGCGAGTCGGGTGTCACGTCGGCCTCCGATCCAAGCTCCAAACGACCGCATCCCGTGTTGGACAAACACGACATCCAAGTGGCAAGGGGCCTGTTTGGCAATCTCTCGATCGACGGCGCTGGCGAGGCGTCGCAGGCTGTGCCCATGACGTCGCCGCTCCCCATCACGCCGCTGCTGGAGGAGGCTGGCGTGCGCAACGCCACGATGCCGCAGCGCAGCGATACCATCACGCCTCGCACCTCTGCGTTTGCCCAGTCGAGCACCTGGCCATACTCGTCCAGCCGGGTCGGCAGCGACGGCGCAGATTCGGCGGAGCGTCCCAAGCTCACGACGACGCTTTCGGCGGAAGCGCCCGCCATGACCGCCGAACCGGACGAGTATGGTGTGCGACGCATCGACATGGAGACCGAGTCGACGCAGACGACGTCGAGCCAGAGCGACCAGCCTTCGTTGGGCCCGAGCGATTCCGCATCGTGGTCGTCGGCCGATCCACGCATGGCCGAGCAGATCGCGCTGCGTGCCGTGATCCACAACCTGCGCCTGGACGAGATGGAGTCGCGCGGCAAGGCCGAGCGGCTCGAGAGCCAGCTGCGCCATGGCAGCAACGAGACGGAAGCCACAGTGACAGCCGCTGGCAGCGAGCGAGGCGCACCGGAAAGTAACGAACGCACGCCCCCGCGCCAATCGTCGTCGGACTCGTGGGGCAAGCCGTTCCGCGTCGAGTGGATCTGTACAGAGCCGCTGCCGTTCCAGCGGGTCAAGAAGCTGCGTAACCCTTGGCGCGACAACAGGCAGGTCAAGGTGTCGCGAGACGGCACCGAGCTCGAACCCGGCGTCGGCCGTCAGCTGTTGGAAGAGTGGAACCGGCTGCCGCCAGCGTCGTCCTTGGCCGTGGCGTCGGACCGCGCTGCATCGAGCTCGCACACGCCTGCTGCAGGTGCTTCTGCCGCTGCCGTGGCGAGCGATGAGGAGGAGTGAATGGCTCCCACCCACCCGAAACAGGCTGCATCCATCCAAAACAGGCTGCGGCGACCATCCCGGCAATGTCGTTGGCAGCCGTCGAAGCAAGCGCCTCCTTGGGCACCAGGCCTTGTCTCTCCAACATCCACGGCGGCGGATCCTCGTGATCGCATCGCCGCCGGTGTTCTCTTGTGTTTCGTCCCGACTCGTTTCCCGGCTTTTTGCATTTTCCCTCAGTGTATCATACGGTCAAGATACTCGTATACCGTTGGTCCTCCAAAGGCATTCTGCTCTCGACCCTTGCGCATGCCCGCCCCGAAAAAAAGGGGCGAAGAAGAGATCTCCCTTTCGTTACCCAGCCAACACACAGCCCTGCTTTCTATATACGTCGTTGCATCTTGTTGTTGTTGTCAGCATCCTTACGTTTCCAACCCGTGCCTTCTCTTTGTAGCGCTATTCATACATGTAGGCGCGGCTTTTTTCCCCCTTTTGTTTTTCCTGGATCCGATCGATACCATCCTTGTACTCTTATACACCGCTTCTGGAGCACACACCGCATCGCATTTGGGTTATCTCTCTCTCTCTCTCTCTC